CTATATCCACTGAATCTACCGCACATTACTGGACTTTAAATATCGAATTCACGTGTGCGGATCCAATAAATATGAGCATTTTGATGTATTCCGGTACCTGAAAAGCCGAATTTGTTTGTAGTGCTAAATAATTCTTTGCTGGTCACGTTAGCCGAGCGGTCTAAGGCACTGTCTTCGCTCGCTTGGAAGCCGGGACCGTGGGTTCGAATCCCACTCAGGGCATGGATGTTTGTGTGCTTTTTCCTGTGTTTGTCTACAGGTAGAGGCCTTGCGACGAGCTGATCACCCGCCCAAGGAGTCCTACCGTATGTGTAACATCTAGAAAAACTGAAGTGAACGTAGAGTTCATGGAGGTAGGCCTAGGCCCACTGGGGCTGTAGTGCCAAAGGAAAAAAAAAATTCTTTAATTATTTCATTTTGTTCAATTTGCAGTTCTGCTCTCAATACATATCATATACTATTCTATTTTGTAAAATCATGGGCTCTTCGAGAGCCTTTCTATAGTCTACTTTTTATTTTCCAATAATTTTGATGGCATAATTTGATATTCTGAAAGTATGAAAAGAAGAAAAGGGTGGATATTTATTGCTGTGTGCAGATGGCAGGAATTTTAAGCAATAAAATATCTTTAACGTGTATTCGACTTCCACGAAGTTTCAGACGTCGTGCTAATGCTAATAATCTCCATAAATACGTAACGCAGTCAGTGATCACGTGCTCTAAAGCAGTGGTATTCAGCTTTTTTGTTCACGTACACCTAGAAATAATTTCCCTTCGGCTTTGTACCTCCAAAGTTGTTAATCTATAATTCAAGTTATACACAGTCTGTAATCTAATCTAAAATGAATTCAATACATTTCATCTAAAATGATGAAATACTTTTATTCAGTGGTTAAAGGAAGTGAGAAACAGTATTAGGGAAAACGTGAATTCCACTCTTTAATGTTCAGTCACGTACCAACACACTATGTGGAATAAGATGCAACTAGCCACCCAGAAAAAAATCGCATAAAGGACAGAGAGAGAGAGAAATAGCGCTCCCAATTGGAATGTCCTTATGACCGGGTCTCCAGTGACCGACTCTAAAGCTGACCCTGATGATTCAGCGTTTATCATTAAATAATATATATACAATATATTTAATTTTACTTACTCTGTAAGATGTCTTCGCATACCCCCGGGGGTATGCATACCCCAGGTTGAAGACCATTGATCTAAAGCGTGTGTGGACCTTGACCGCTTCAGCACTGTAATCTCTTGTCATATGTAGACAGAGGCCTTGTAATTGGCCAACTCCCCGTCCAGTGGATCCAACCAACTATTTAATACGATTCATAGATTCAGAAGTTAATTAATTCTGAATCAGAACAGGGTAAATTATTATCATGCTTGCTAGAAGAAGAGGAAGAGAAACTGAGGAATTGGAGGAAGAGGAGGGATGAATAGAAGAAAGACTATGACAAAGAGGAGGAGGAGGAGGAACAGTATTCCGCTGAGCATTGATCATCTACAAACAGAATTCTTGCCATTTGGCTTATCCTTATAATAACTTGGCAAAGAAATTGTTCTTAATTTGCTTTCTGATCATAAAAATTCATGTTAACTTCCATAGAAGCCTGAAATCTAATCACAAACGTGCATGTTAGGGTATTGAATTGAATTCTTCAGAGATAGTTATAGTTACAGATGTATTCACGAAATATATTTGTCAGCCACATTTATGAAACATTTGTTCTGTTGGCATTAGTTTCTATCACCTCATCATTCACTCTTACTGTAAATTAGCATACCATGAAAACTCACATTCTCCATCTCCATGCAATTCCGGACATTTTGTGGAGAGGGATTTAAGGTTATGAATCCACTAAACATAGTCCTACTTGTAGCCTGCTGTAGAAGCCAACTGACTCAATGAGAGTAGGTAAAAGTTCATGACAAGAATATAAGCAGGAAGGATAAGCTTGTCTTAACATTGAAACTTAATATTTGCAGATATATTGAATATTTGTCTTGAAGTGGCTCTTATTTACACAACTCATGGATGAAACAAGAAATGGCTACAATATTATCTTTGGAGAATCTCATGGAAAGGGACTTGGGAGACGTAGGTGTAGGAGTGAGATTTATATAAGAAATGGAACATGGAGGAGAAGGTTATGAGGATGTGAAATGAGTTGTACTTCTTGAAGACAGGTGCTGTTGGTAGACTTATGTGCTAAAGGCCATGAAATCTTAGGTTCCATAATATCATGGAATTATTTGGTCATCTAAACAATTATTTTTATTTAAGGAATATAATACTCTGTACCAGAGTCAGGATAGCATAGATAGTATAGCGACAGCCTATGGGTTTGAAGGGCCGGGGATCTGTTCCCAGCATAACAAGATTTTCTCCTCTCCACAGTGTTCATTCAGGCTCTGGAGCGCACTCAGCCTCCTATCCAATGGATAAAGGGTGCCATTTCCAGTGGGTGGGGGCTAAAGAAGCCGAGGAGTGAATCTGACCACTCACACCCAGTTCTGAGGTTGAGAATGGTGGAGCTATACCTTTACTCCCTCATATGTCTACATGGTATAGTACTTAATAGTTAAGCATAAGGACAACTTCACATTTTACCTTTAATACTTTGTACCATGATATACAGGCTGTGGAATTAAACCTGAATTCTGAGTTCCACATGAGAAGTATGGTAAGAAGTAGTGGGACAGTGGTTGCAGTTGTGTTGTCAAAGGGAGGGTGGGTGACGCATTTAACTATGGCTCTGTCATAACACATATGTGCCACACAGCCCTTATCTTAATTAGTGGATTTATCATAACCACTGCACATTCAAATGGGAATAGTCAGTTATAAAATTATAGGCAGTAGTAGTGTTACATTTCTTCAGTACTGAATACTGGCCTTACTAAGGATAAATTATCATGTTTGATATGGGCAAAATGAAAGTAACAAAAATAAAAACAATTTCAGATTTGAAATTTAATATTTCGAGTCAATGTACTTTTGAGCATTATTCATATGCAAGTCCACAACATTTCCTCCAATCATGAGCAACTGTGAAAGGGGGGGGGGCTGAAAACTGCCCTCCTCCAGGACTTTTGGGAATATATAGAAATTGAAAAATGAAGGAAATGCTCAAATATTGATACCAAAATTAAAATNGATGGCATTCTTATGCCGAAACATGTAGTGAAAGTGAGAGAAGAAGATAGATAAGTGTATGCACTGCAAGACGGAATAAACAAATCATGAACTTACTATTACAAATTTAAAATATAAAATTGTAAGCAAAGTTTCTGCCACCCCCCCTGCACCTCAAAGAATATTCTGACATCCATGTGTGACACATTTGGTTTTAGCATTCAGTCATTTCTATACTTCATTTCCTTCATTTGGGATACATTCACATTCACTCTGGAATATGTGCATTCTGTGTTTCCATTCTGAGCACTACATGTAAACCAGTCTTTCACAAGTAGCCAGATTATGCTTCCTACAATTCAGTTGCAATCACTTGAACTTTTGTCAGAATTGTAGATAGTAGTTATAAATCCTGTCATTGACATATTATCAGCCAGAAATCGGTACTGGTCACTGCAATTTATTCTTGGCACTGAAGAATCCAGATTCGGAAAGAGTTTAGATTCTGGGAGTAGCTTACTTATTTCAAAAATAGAATTATTTAATGCTGTTTTCATTGATTCTATCGTTAATGTTAATCCTGCGTATTTCGTTGCATCTAAACATGGTCTGTACCCCAAAATATTAATGGTAAGGTGTATAAAATGGAAATAATTTTTGACTTAAGACTAAGATACACAGTATTATATTGTAGCATCTGTTGCACTTTTCACTTAGTGTTAATTAGTTCTACAACATTATGTGCAAAAATTTATTCAAACATATTAAAATCTAGTCACTTTAAAGGTTATATTACATGTTTTGACCAAAGTGGTCATTTTGAGGTTTTAAAAGTTGTGGGTGAGGAAACTGCTGTCTTTCTGCATTGATGTTTTTGTTGATGTATGGTTCTCCTATTGCATATTTGCTGCATTATGTTTCTTGTCTTTGAAACAAGACTGCTGCCTTTCTGCATTAACATTTAATTGTCGATGTATGGTTCCCCTACTGCATATGTGTATATTCCTTCTTGCTGCATTATGATCCTTGTCTTGAAAACAAGACAATATAATAATTGTTCATTCACTTTGTTCTGAGGCTTTGGTCGGTAATGTTACCATGATGTGTTATATTAATAAACCTACAGTTTTCTTGATATTGATAAAGTTCATTTCCAGTACATATTTAGGATAGACATGTTTGTGGTAAAGTCAAATAAAGGTACATGGGTCATGTTAATTACTTCAGCATTTTTAATATTAAATTAATACCCATTTCATTGTAAATATGTTATGGTGAAATTGTATTATAAGGAAATCAAGTGGCTAGTACCAATGACTGCTGGTGACATAAATTTATCAGCCAATCAACTTATAATTTATGAAGCTACCACACTTATCAAATCTGTCCTATAGAGAAGCGTTTAACAAGTTCAGGTCAGCCAATATGTAGCAAATAATTAACATATACCTCAAGTTGCCAATATATTCTGTTAATTTCTTAAGAATGATGGTCAGGTACTTGATCAATGGGTAAATAATATTAAATGTATCACATGAACAGAGAAGATTTGGTATTAATTATTAGAGGTCAAAATCTGAAGTTGCTCACTCTTACATTAACTCGTTTAGTCAGTTGTGTAAGACTAAGAGGAAAAGTGTTTGTATTTGAAAGTTATTTCAGTCAGTCTACTGTATGGAATCTAGTCAGTTAGTGAAGTAAGGCAAGCACCTATTATATGAAAAGACTGGAGAGGCACAGATGGTTGCCTGTTTGTCTCTTATGTAAGCTGGCTGCTCTGATTACCTCCCCCTCCAACCCCCCCTCCAGTTCTTGCAGTAGAAGCTATATAAAGGCTGTTAGGGCATAATGGCCGGTCTTATGGGTTTGTGCATTGGGCATGGCAAAGCAAGTAAAGTCCACACTGGTAATATTCCTAACATCATTGCTGGTGCTACTGGCATCTGCCTCAGGTAAGTGTGCAACATGTGAATATATTCAGATCTAGATTAAGATGAATATTATGAAAATAAAATTTTAGAATGTGAAGTGGGATTTGAAGGACTTAGAGTGTTGTAAAATAAGCTTTTATGATGAATGTGAAAAAATTTCGGGCCCCTTTAGTATGGATTTTTACTACCTAAATAATTATTAACTACTAAGGGAAGACACTGTTTAAAGTAGCTATGTACTGAATATTTTTATGTCAGTTTTATACCACAAGTTTTGATCAGAACTAGTCCAGTAATTTGCAGTAGTTTAGTCATTTTGCATTTGCAGTCTTATTTTGTTGGTGTCTGAATAACCTTCCCAACCCAAATTACTTAGTATTAGATTAACTGGCATTGCTGTTGGTACTTGACAGCACTATTCACTTGAAAAATTTACAACAAAGACAATCAATGTTTTACACCACATTGTACATCCCACCAATATATTGTGTATCATTTTCTGGGAAACTTATTTCAAATTCTAAATGTGAGAATTCTAATGATAATTATTTTATTTTTGCCAGAATTCAAATAAATATAATTTCTGTATTTTTATCATACTTAATATAATGAGTTGTAAAATTAACTTTAGATTGCTGTATCTTTGATACTTTTAAATACAAATTGTGTAAAACATAAAGCAATTCATGATTTATATTTCATAATCTAATGTATGCAATGCAGGTATTAGTTTGCATATTTCTAAAGATTAGAACATTCTACCATACTCTTTCAAAACAACTCATATTGGTTTCTGTTTTTTACTGCACTGTGCCCTACAGTCAGTTTATAATACCTGATACATCCTAGACAGAATAATGTTATAGTGGCTGTTCAGCATACTAGAAATTGTTTTTGATCTGTCTCTGAAGTCTGATAAATCAATAAATTTTCCTGGCCATTTTCATCAATTTTGAGTTCTGTCATATTAATATTGTCAATGTATATCAGAATATTCTTGATCTATTTTACTGCAACTTGGTCAAATTTAATGTTAAATTAACCGATATTATTTAAGATACATTCTTTTAATAATTATCAACACTGAAATATTTAGTGCAGTTTTATTTCAAGTTTAATATGATTCTATTTAAGCTGCATTAACAGTCACAGACCTTGAAGCAGTTAGTGATGTAAAGTTGGCCATTTATCAGTGTATACTTAGTGTTTTGAAATGCAGAGGAAGGTCTTTGTTGAAAGTGCAAGCAGGGAGGGGGATAGAGAGAGTCGATGAATTTGAAACAAATATTTTAAGCTAGTTGTATAGTGAAATAAATGAATTATTTAAAATGAACAAACCTAAAACTACTTGATAACAGATGAGAATGATAATATACTTGTATTTGGAGATTCCATTAGTTCCACATCCGGTAGGTCATCTGACTAACTCATGGATCTATGGAATGCTATGTATGTATGTATGTATTATTAACAGGTGGAAAAATTACCTCTGTTAATCATTAAATGTATGTTCAATTAATTGCTCTAGGCAGACTAAAATGCTAACCATTAATATCTGAGTCTAATTCTTATGTGCTCAAATTGTCTGTTTAAAACTGAAAAGGCCGAAATTGACAGGCATTGCTCAAGCTGCTGCATAATTGATCGAAGTAGGAGGTAAAACATTACATAATGAGATCCACAAAATTACTCTATTCGTGACAAAGAAGAATTCTCACGTTAACAGAAGGAATCTGTAGTAATACATACTTCTGAAGGCATTAATAAAATTGACTGTACTAATTGCTGAGAGATGTCACTGTCCCAGTCCTACCAGATTTTCTGAGAATTAGTGGGTCTGGAATGGGGTCCACTCAGCGTAGTGAGGATAATTGAGGAGCTATTTCGAGGAAATAGCGGCTCCAGTCTAGAAAAACGAGATTAACGGCCATGGAGATCGGTTGCGCTGACCACACAACACCCTCTATCCGCTAAATTTGGCACTAACTTCGCTGACAAGTGGCAGTCACTCGGTTGGTATAGTTCACTTGCGGACTACATGCCACAGGTTTTTTTAAGGTATTCGTCAGTGTGGATTTAAGAGTAATTGTTTGGCTGTGGATCTAACATTGATTGCTCATCAGGAAGTCTGTTGCAAATAATAATGGGAGTACAATAGAACAGTGTGTCAGATAATTGACTAAGTATCTAACTCTGTAGTTTGGTGTCCTGCTTCAGACACATATACTTGGCCAGCTACTCAAGAAATGCTCAGAATTTTATGGAATAAAAGTCTTTATTATCATGTTTACAAGAGCCTACTCTTGTCTTTGTTCTGAGCCAGATGAATCTAGTTCATGCCTTCCCAATTTGTTGTTTGAGATGAATTTTAACATTATCCTCCCATCTATGCATAGGTCTTCCTAGTCATCTCTTTCCTTTAGAATTTCCTGCAAACATCTTGTATGAACTTCCCTTCTCTCCCATATATGCTGCATGCCCTGCCCATCTCTTGCACCTTGATTTGATCATCAAATAACATTTAGTGAAGAGTAAGACTTTCTAAGCTCCTCACTTTGCAGTTTTTGTCCAGCCTTCTATTATGCCGTTCCTCTTGGGTCGAAATGCTCTCCTCAGCACCCCGTTTTCATGTACACTTAGCCCATATTCTTCCCATTATGTTACAGAAAAAGTTTCTCAATCATACAAACCTACAGGCCAAATTACAGATTTGTATATATTAATTTTAAATTTCTGAGGTAGCATATGGAGAAGAGTGAACTGAATGTTAGCAAGCATTTCCCTGAATTTAATCTGCTATTATAATGTCTTAGTGATTGCAATCTTGAGTTTTTAGCGTCATTTCCAAATATCTGAGCTTCACAAATTTTTGGAAGATCTACTTGTGTGTTGATTGTTGCAGAATATAATACTCGTACAGATACAAAATTAAACACTAATATTGCCGTTGTACAAATTATTGCATGCTATGAAAAATGGGGGCTAATTTTCTATAATATGTTCATTAAATAGCTTTTCGGCCGTAGCCACACGACTCAGTTCTCATTCAGCTATCAGTGAAACGAAAGAGAAGTTCTTTCGAAGAATAAAAACAGAGCTTGTTTTGTCAGTAATATATAACGTATTCAAAGCAGGCTTTTTACTCCATACTTAATATCATGCTATGTGAATTTTTTATGCTGCTGTCATGCAACACACAAAACCCACTGTCATATTCATACAAAACCTGCAACTTAACGTTACACACTGCGGCCTTCATGGAATTTGTTTCCTGTGTCAAAACTAGGCGGTTCTTAACCGATGTTATATTTTAGTAATATAGTGTGTAATTTTTTCCGTGTTTATAGTACTCTGTGTGACGTATTTTTTTTATCTAATACTGAACTGTAAATGTGTCTATCAGATTCTCGAGACTAAGGCTAATTTAGAAAAGAGGAAGTTAAGAGTATTGGATTATTCCTTTACTTATTGTTAGTTTATGTTGCTGTTCACGCGTTCGTATCACCTCGTATCAACTGGTGAAAATGAGTTTCGTATATGCCCACTTATTTAAAGGAACATACGAACGAAAATATATGTATATTTAAATGTTTCATTAATCGTTAAAAATTGATTACAGAGACGATAATTTCTGGAGGAGCGGGTGAGGAAATGATATACAGAACATTATGATACAGAGGTTGATCTGGAAAGAATCGTTAGAAATAATTCAGTTTAGAAGGAACATAAACCAAATATAGTTTTAAAACAAATCAGCTAGTTCTCGCTCAGATATGAATATACCGATAAGCTTATTCAACATGCTATTACGTCAGTAAGTAGCCGGGATTTATTCAATGAAACCTTGTTTTGCCATCTGCATGGAACCGAATATTTTGAGGTTTATGGTTTTCCTCATAACCTGTAGGTGAAAATCCGGAATAGCAATCCCTACATTCGAACAAGACATGACTCAAGACCACTTCATTTCCATCTTGACTTAGATGCCCGGGGTAAAAGAACGTGGACAGTCTCTTCCCTCTAATGCCGAAATGAGGGGTGTCTCGTTATTTACTTCCAGGCTCCTTCTCCCCTTTATGACATGTCTCTCGTGCTCATTTTCGTATTTAGTCAGCATATACGACATATAATTTCGCATTACATAGGCCTGGAAAACCGTTGAATTATAAAAGTCGTTAAAACAAAAATTGAAGGGAAGGAGCGAGGAATATGCCATTTATTTATATTTTTTTGTATGTTTTGTACCGCTTGTATCGTGCACTATATATGGGTACAATTTCCCGATATAAATACTACATAAATACTATAAGTGCATCATTAGTTTCGCACAACTGAGGGCGAATAAAGTCATAGTATTATATTTTAGCATCCTGCTGCATTGATGTATCACTCACTCATTCCACCAATTGCTCCATAGTCACCCTCACCTATCGTCTGGGGCTGGCACAATAGGCCAGATGTGGCCGCAGTACAAGGGACTTCGTCCCACCCCACTAGCAATAAAAAAAACTTATTTCGGAACACAAACTTTAGAATTGCCTACATGACGACTATTACAATCACACACCATTTGAAACTTAAGGGAATACCAGGAGATATATACAACCTGAGTGGTATATATTAGCTACAATGTGGTGAATGCCCACTCAAATATATCGGACAGACAGGACGCACATTCAAAGTCCACTACAGAAAACATATAAATGTTATCAGGACTAATAAGCAACATTCTAAATTCGCACAACACATTTTGGAAACTGGACATACATTTGACACGTTGGACCAGATCATGAAAATATTACATATAGAAAGGAAGAGACCCAAACTCAACACAACAGAAATATATTATAAGTACGACATAACGGAGAAAGGTCTACAGATGAACGATACATTTACAAAAATACATAACCGCATATCCGACATTCTAGTACAAACACACCAAATAACCCCACCCCTTTCCCATCTCTCCAACCATTCACAGTATTCTCCTCCCTACCTCATACCATTTGACTCTATACAAA